CTAGAATGATGTGTGTTAAGTTTCCTGAAAATCGGTCCAGATTTAGATATAGCTCCCATATATATTTTCGTCCGATTTAAGGTAAATGGTGCTCTAAAGTCCCTAAATATCTTTCGATTTGCACGAAGTTTGACATAGCGTACTGAATTAAGTCTAGAACGATGTGTATAAAATTTCTTGAAAATCGGTTCAGATTTAGATATAGCTTCCATATATATTTTCGTCCGATTTTATGTAAATGGTGCACAAATTCCCTTTATATCTTTCGATTTGCACGAAATTTGACATAGCGTACTGAATTGGGACTAGAATGATATGTGTGAAATTTCATGAAAATCGGTTCGGATTTAGATATAGCCCCCATATATATTTTGTCCGATTTTATGTAAATGGTGCACCAAAGTCCATATATATCCTTCGATTTGCACGAAATTTAGTAAGTTTCGGAAAAATCGGTTCAGATTTCTATATAGCTCCCATATATACATATATATTCGTCCGATTTTACGTAAACGGTGCACCAAACTCCTAATGTTTGTCCGATTAACCTGAAATTTTGCACAACGTATCAAAATGAGATTTGAATGAGGTTATTGTGTTTTGTTGAAATTGGTGCAGATGCAGTCATAGCTTCCGTACGTATTTCGAACGGGTGTCTGATTAAAATTATTTCTTTAACAGTTCTTCGTACCGAATAGGGTGTATCATTTTTGCAATAAATCGTTTTCCATAAACTTGTCCCGTGGTAGGCAGACGATTCTAAATCTGCCCGAATGAAATTAAATTTATCATAGGTTTCAGAAAGAGATGAGTATGTTCCTTCGAATGAACATTGACATGCAATTGTAAGGATACATATGTACCATATGTACCCAAAGTGGTGAAGGGTATCATATAGTCGGCTCAGTCCGACTTTACTACTCTTTTTACTGGTTTTGTTATTAGTTGCTTTCATATGGCCATATGCTAAATTCTGATCTCTACTGTCAATTGATGATAGCAATTGACCAGAAACGGCCAGAATTGACCAACAGGAGAGGAATCGTGTTCCACCCGGACAACGCTACGCCACACACATCTACAGTGACTCGCCAGAAACTTCGGTAGTTTGGTTAGGAAGTTTTAGTACATCCGCCATACAGTCCGGAGTCGGCACCAAACGATTATCATGTTTTTCATAAATTGCAAAATTTCTTTAATGATAAAAATTGGTATCTAGAGAGGAGGAGAGAGGAGGAGGTGCATATTTGGACCAAGTCGGACATTCCGAAGCATGTGAAATAAAGTCCACTAATTCATATAAAAAATGGATTTCTTTTTCCGCAATCTAATATACATTAAAGGCCTTTGAAGTAGTATCTATATATAGTAGGGATTCTATCTATATAAGACCTTTAGAAAGATTTATATACATATATTTAGATGTTCATCGGAAGGTTGTACATCTACCTCGAAGGTCTCTGGAAAATCTTCTATTCCTAATTTATTGAGACCCCTTGGAAAACATATGTTGGTGCTCTACTGAAATTTGAAATTATTTTTAACTATTTTTTTCTATTTAGATTAGATTACTAAAAATATAATTTTAATATTTGTTCAATATTTGCCTTTGGTTCCACAACATATCTAACCGACTTTCGCAGACAGCGGAACAGGCAAATTCACGTTTTTTAAATAGCACACAGTGATTAGCTTCCCGATAATTAAGCACCTACTTGAGATCAATAAATGCCTTTGTTGTATGTTTGTGTTCCACCGTCTTCGTCACACATAACAGATAATAATAATAGCAAAACAAAAAATAAACAATTAATTTATTTCCATTTATATGTCATTTTAATTTGTTTTAGAGCAAATAATCACAGATAAATTAATTGTTTTTATTTAAACAAACAGCAAAAAAATTGTTTTTAACATTCTAGAGTGGTACACTTCAAAATAAAACCAAAACCAATGCAAAATTGTGAAAGTCGTGTGACTAAATATGGCGACCGTTTGCGGGTTATAGTGCGTAATATCATGGGACCCAAATGGTGCGGCACAGTGGTCACAGGGTATTCATAAATTAATATATATTTTTTATCGAAAAAACTAAAATTTAATTTATTATGCCTTTGAAAGTGTTATACTTTTTTGTGTTATACACCACCATCATGTGACAGTTCATTATTATTTAGTACAATACAATTTGTTCATTTTTTCGGCAGGGGGATTTCCTGCTTCAACAAAAAGAAATTCAATTGAATTGAATTATTTATTAGGCTGTCAGATGGCAAAGGTATTAACTTATTTCTGATTAATATGGAGTACAAAAAAACAGCATTGTAATTACATTAAATAATAAGGGGAAATTTATTAACTTCAATAATGTGACAATAAACAACAATTGTTATGTGAATTGTTCATTTTTAACAAAATAATTGAATCGAGTGTGGAGTAATTGGGGGAAAGTTTTGATATGGAAAAGTACAACTAAACGTAAAATTTACAGATTATTATACTCTTCACCACACTGTGGTACAGGGTATTACGTCTTTGTGCATATGTTTGTAACAGGCAAAAGGAAACGAGATCGACACAGTGTTTCTTTTGAGAATATGCATAGAATCACTTTCTGAGTCGATTTATGAATGTCCGTCCCTCCATCTGTAGATGTGAAATTGTAAACAAAGTACAGGTGGCATTTATAATCCGATTTGAATGAAATTTGGCACAAGTCACTTATTTGGCTCAAGGACGAACCCTATTGAAATTGAAGAAAATCGGTTCAAAATTTAGATATAGCTCCTGTAAATAGTTTCGTCCGATTTAAGGTAAAAAGGGAACCAAAGTCGCTATATATCTTTCGATCTGTACGAAATTTAGCATAGAGTACTGAACTAGGTCCGGAATGATGTGCGCCAAGTTTCAAGAAAATCGGTTCAGATTTAGGTATAGCTCCCGTATATAGTTTCGTCCGATTTAAGGTAAAAGGGGCACCAAAGACTCTATATATCTTTCGATTTGCACGAAATTTTGCATAATGCACTGAATTGAGTCTAAAATGATGTGTGTCAAGTTTTGAGAAAATCGGTTCAGATTTATATATAGCTCCCATATCTATTTTCGTCCGATTTATTGTAAATGGGACACCAAAGTCCCTATACATCTTTCGAAATTTGGCATAAGGTGCTGAATTAGGTCCAGAATGACGTGTGTTAAGTTTCATGAAAGTCGGTTCAGATTTAGATATAGCTCCCATATATAGTTTCGTCCGATTTAAGTTAAAAGGGGCAACAAAGTCCCTACATATCTTTCGATTGGTGCGAAATTTTGCAATTTGTACTGAATTAAGTCTAGAATGACGTGTGCCAAGTTACGAAAAAATCGGATCATATTTGTATATACCTCCCATATATATTTTCGTCCGATGTAAGGTAAAAGGGGCACCAAAGTCCCTATAAATCTTTCGATTTACACGAAATTTGGCACAGGGTACTGAATTAGGTCCAGAATGATGTGTGCTAAGTTTCGTGAAAATCGGTTCAGATTTAGATATAGCTCCCACATATATTTTCGTCCGATTTAATGTAAATTGTGCACTAAAGACCCAAAGTGTGACCGAGTGGCACACAATTTTGTACAATGTACTGAAGTTACTACAAACTTTCATGTGTCAAATTTTCTTGAAATCGGTTCAGATTTACATATAGCTCCTATATATACTTTCTTAGGATATTAAGTAAATGGTTCACTAAAGACCCATAGCTAGTCCGATTGACATAACGTACTGAAATTCATATAAATGTATCTCTGGCAAGTTTCCTTGAAATCGGTTCAGATTTAGATATGGCATAGCTTCCATATATAATTTCGACCTATTCATGTTGATTGTATACGAAATAATCAATGGGTGCCTGATTCATATTATATTTTAAACAGGGAAGCATACCAAATATCGTGTGTAAAGTTTGCTTTAAATCTATTTACAAAATTTAGGATAGGTTGCAAAATGACATGTGTAGGGATTGATGTTAGTCTCCTAGGATACAGATAAAGATCAAATATTTAAGTTCGTTCAATTTCATGTCAATGTGCCAAAGTGGTGTAGGGTATCATATAGTCGGCCCAGTCCGACTTTACTACTTTCCTTACTGGTTTTTCAAATGGGATGTAAAATATATAAATTATTCTTAACATACTTATGTTCACGCTTCAAACTGAATTAAAAAAAACAAATTTTTTTAATTAAAAAACTCTGGCAATGTTTTTAACCAAAAAAATCCAAAGAAATAAAAAAACAATACAAAAATTATCCAAATAAAATAATTAAAATATTAAAATAAAGAAAAACTGTGCTAAAACATGTTCTTTAAATTTACTCAAATTTCTAAAAAGTATTTTTAAGAAATACACATTTCAAAAATACTTACAAAATTCAACCTTCAAAACAATATTTTTAAAAGACTCAAGCTTCCGATTTTTTTTAATATTCAGACATAATCCCAGTTAGCTGTTTTATAAAAAAATCGACTAAAAGAATTAAAATAATCTAAAAAATCCCCACAAAAAATACAAATAAAAATCTTTAAAAAATATTTTAGAACAAAAAATTCTTATTGACCCCGACGTGATTTGAACACGCAACCTTCTGATCTGGAGTCAGACGCGCTACCGTTGCGCCACGGAGTCCGTTATACGCTCTTCTACAATTCAGCCATAACAACAGTAACCGTCACACACATTCAAATCTAATTCAAAACATTTGCTTGTTTGGTTCTAAAAATAGAATAAACAAATAATGCACTCAACAGTTGTGAGAATAAATTGTAAAGAGAGGGAGAGCGAGTGGACTCTCAGTAAATTATTAGCAAAACAAATGTTTTAAAATAGTGACTAATTTAATTCAATTGTGTGCTATGGGCTAATAGGGGGTGGGGGGAGAATAGATTCGAATAGTCCCCAATACTGTTATTTGTTATTGTTTGTATTTTAATGTTTTTGTTTTTCTTTTTTTTCAGGTGCCAGCCGCCGTCGTTGTCTAAGCATTCTGAAAACCCTGCGTGATCGTCATTTGGATTTACCCGGCAATCCGGTTACCTCATACCATCTGAAAACCCTACTCCTCTATGAATGTGAAAAACATCCTCGTGAAATGGAATGGGAGGAGAATTGCATTGCCGATCGTATCAATGGCATATTTCTGCAATTGATTTCGTGTCTACAGTGCCGGCGTTGCCCTCACTATTTTTTGCCGAATATGGATTTGTTCAAAGGCAAGTCGCCGGGTGCTTTGGAAAATGCCGCCAAACAAGTTTGGCGCTTAACACGTATCATGCTGACCAACGCACGATGTCTGGAGGAGTTGTAAGCAAGGGTAATGCTACTATAGTGTTGTTGTTGGTGGAGTTTAAATTGATTTTTTTTTCACTACAACAACGACAACAAGAAGACAAAGATACACATGTTAAAATGTTCAATTGTAAAATATTTAAAAAAAAACAAAATTTGCCACAAGTTAATTTAGGTTTTTTTTTATTAGAATTTTAAGTTTCGTAGTTATGTTTTCCTATGCTGTAATATTGTATTTATTTAGTAGGAGTTTTGATTTTAGATATTATATAATTTTTTTTTTCAAATTGTTTTGAAATAGAAATTTGCATTATTCACCACTGAAGAAATTCGAATGTAGTGAAACATGTTGCGTTTGAAGGCATTTCATATTTGTTTTCATACGGAAAAAAATAAATGTGTTGAGGTTTGTGATGAGGAAAATTTTAAAAATGAAATGGATCGATTAAAAATGTTTATATTCAACATGACACTGAGAATATATTTAAAACCACTTTCTAAGGGATTTCTCTGGAAAAAATATTTTAAAAAATGTTTTTGTTTAAAACAATTTTTTTAATAACAGTTTTTTTAATCCATTCCTTTAGTTGGTCCTTGAAGAATTTTGTGATGGTACTAGAAAAAAATATTTTTAAATTTTTAAAAGAGACATGCACTTTTTTCTTTTTAACACCTATGCTTTTGATGATTGCTGAAATACATATTTTAATCTCTGACATATTCTTAATTTGAAATTTATACACAATTTTTTAAAAGGCCATGGTCTTTAGAAAGAAAAAATTTTAAAAATATTTAATATATTAATTTTTTTTTTGATTTTATTAAACAGTTTATTTTAATGTCCTAGAAAGAAATATATATTTTTTAGGTTTCAAAAAAATATTAGAGATCATATAGCAATTGATCAGAAACGGCCAGAATTGGCCAACAGGAGAGGTGTCGTGTTGCACCAGGATAACGCTAGGCCACATACATTTCAAGTGGGCCATAATTTCGCCAGAAGCTTCGTTGGTTGCTTGGTTGGATAGTTTTAATGCATCCTTTAAAATGACAACAAATCATACAACAAAACGGCGCATATTTGTATTGTAGTTGTCTGCAAATGCCTTGTTGAAACGAACTTCTCATTGGGGTCGTATCGATGGTAACGCAAGAACTTCGAATTGTCACAAGAGACATTTGGGTATGAAAGGTTTTTTTTTGTAAAGAAGCAATAAATAGCTTCTGAGGAGAATTATCCCAACAAAAAACTAAGGAAACTGATGAGGATCAGTGGCGAGATCCGAAACTATAGTCTTCCCTGTCTTACCCCTCGGCGGACAATGCCATACATTCCCCACTAATAAATAGTTGTTTTTTTATAAAAACAACAAACTGGGATTTAGCCTGACTATTTTGCAAACACAAAATTAAACGTTTTTATGATTTTCATGGATTTGAAAAAAAAAACATTTTAAATTTAACCACTGAGCGGAGCAGTATAGTCGGACGGGGCCAACCATACCATACCCTACACAACTACCAGGGAACTCTAACTTTTTGGGGATGTTTATTCAGAGCCTGGACAATATTTTCTGATATTTGCAACCTCTAGCTTAATTAGAGGTCAAGAGCACCTCTTTCTTAAACTAACATATTTTCCGAACACTTCTAATTACTTTTCCATATTCTCTTCACCGTGGGTTGTGTTGTGATGTTTGGCTTTTAATTGTAACACATAGATCGACTCGAAAAAAAACACAAAAATTAAGTTTTCGGTCCACTTTATCCCAATATTATTATCTGATCATCACAAAAATTATAGGCGTTATCCTTGACCATAACTGGAACCCTACGGAACATTTCAAATCGATCAGCGCTAAATGTCCGTCCTCTAATGTGGTAATGGTTTACTAACTAAAATATTAATACGTAAGCACCTGTAAATATTTAAGTGTCACTCCCACATCCGAGTACATACGACATTATAATTGGTATTAATTTAAAGGCCAACCACACATCTTGGATATACTATCAACTTATCGGGTCTATGTCCTTCAGGGGTAAATATATACGCTATAGAATACAAATTTTATCATTTTTCACACAAAAGTCAGGGTCCATTTGACCCGCTAAATATTAACCGATCTTTATCAAAACAGACATGCTTATTCTTTGGGCCGATCCCATTCTTCATGTAAAATTTCCAGATGTTTGGACCATAATTTCGGCCTATGGTGCGACCAAAAAACCGGCAAAAATTAGGTATTTGGTCCATTTCATCCCCTAAATATTAACTGATATTTACCAAAAATAATAGGGGTCTTCATTGGCCAGAACCGGTCCTACATTCAAGATTTCGAAGAAGATTGATCCATAACTGTGGCCTATAGCGGGTTTACAAATTATAATGGACAGACGGACGGACGGACACACACATGTCTAGATCGACTCAGTTAGTCGAGATATGACGATCGGTATACTTAAAGGTGGGTCTAGGAACAACATTTCGCGGCGTTACAAACTCTTGGGGCTGCAAAAAGCTATAATATCCTGACAACATAGTTGTGTAGGATATAATTGATGGCCCTGAAAACAATTTTTTATAAAAGTCCATGGTATGTAAAAAAATAATTTTTGAATGATTCTTGAAAAATATTTTTTTAAGGTCAAGGTTCATTAAAAAAATACAGATTTCAAAATCCATATTCCTTAAAAAAATTTGAGCAACTGATGGCCCTTTAAAAAAATATTTTTTTCTTTTAAATCCGTGGTCCTTGAAACAATATTTTTAATTTAAAAATCCGTGGTCTTTGAAAAAAAATGTCTACTGTCCGGAAAACATTTTTTAATAATCCGTGGTCTCTGAAAAAATAATGTTCAAACTAAACTAAGGCCCTAAAAATGTTTTTACAATAATCCAAAAAACAAATTGTATAAAGAATGCTTTGTTTTAAAAAATCCAATATCCGTGAAATATATACATATATATTTAAATCCATAGTCCTTGTGAAAATATTTTTTATAGACAAAATCCAAGGTCCTTGAAAATTTGGCGTTTCTTTAAGAAATGATTTTACAAGTATAACATCAAACTTGAAAAAATTAAAAAAATCACGCTTGTGATTGTCCAAAAAATACGCGTTTATTGGTGAAAAATATATTTTTTAATAAGCACTTTTTTTATTTTTTCCCTCGTAATGATCCTTAAAAAAGGGGTTTCATAAAATCCATGCGTCACTTCATTTTTTTAATTGCCCACGGCTCTTATGATTAAAAAATATAAATGGATTAAATTAATCCACGCCTCAGATTTATTAATGATATTTAAAGAAAAATCAGGCCATTGGTGACCAATATGTTTTTTTTTTACAATTCCATGCCTACTCATTGTCATTGAGATCATTAAAATCAACACTCAAAGAATTTTTTTTTTATTTCCACCAAAAAAAAATATTTGCTTTGAAAAAAATATTTTTTAAAAATGTCAATGTTGGTCATTAAAACTATTTTAAAAAAACTCTATGTCAGTTTATTACGACATCTATGCGTGTGGGACTTTAAAAATATTATAATATTAAAAATAGCAGGAATTTTTTGCTCGTAAAAAACATTAAATACCTGTTAGTCTTCAAAAATATTTTTCCTATTTGCTTTTTTTTTTTTTTTTTTTGGTTTTTGAAGAATTGTTGTTTGAAAATTAACGGACCATTACTAAGTCCTTGAAAAAATAATCTTTAAAAAATCGATACACATTTGGCTCTTTTCAAAATATACCCGTGCCTCATCACAAACCTTTTAAAACACTTTATTTTTTTTTTAAATCCTAAAATTTACACTGCATTACTTTTGTACATGAAATCCCAAAAATTATAATTTAGGAAATTGAAATTAAATAAAATTATTATTTTTAAATTATTGTTACTTAAAAACATATGTTAATTATTTAATATAATTAGAATATAGTAAACCTAATGTAATAAAAAAAACAGCAACATTTTGCCAATCAAAAAAATAATGAAAGAAGCCCAAAAATATTAATATAAAAACTGTATACGATATTTTTTTCGAAAAAGTTTTGATGCAAAATTTTCTCAAACCCAAAAAGAAAATTATAAATAAATAAATATTAATCAAAAATAGTTATAAGAAAAATATAAATTAAAAAATAAAGATTACAATAAATATGCATTATATGACATATACATTTAAATGAAAAGTATACTATTATTTTAAAACAATTTTTAAGTTGTATTATTTATTTTTTATTATTATTACTTAAACACAAAAAATAAAATATATAAAAAAGAAACAACAATAATAAAAATAAAATTGTATAAATTATAGCGCTAAAAATACAAAATGCCAAGTTTTTTTTTGCATGACACACACAACAGAAACAAAAAATATCCAAAAAATAAATAAAAAGAATACAAAAACTTGTATTAAGAAAAAAATTAAAACTAGTGCGTTTTTATTTCAGACGTGCCTTTCATGGGTAACCCCCTGGGTAAATGTTTTTTTAATTTATTGCAATGATATTGGGATATTGGCCATACAACCATACATTGAACCAGTCCACCTCTTGTTCAGACAAATGTTGTAGGAGTTGTACGAGTAGTTTATTACCGTTGTTATATGTCCCATGTCTTGTCTTTGTCTTCGTCGTCACACACAACTCAAACATGTCTGGCATTCGAAATCAATCAGTCGGTTTACCCTTTGCTGAAGTGCCATCTCCATTTGTTGGGACACTTAACAATAGCCATAAACTATCGTTAAATGCTTCGGAATAGTGTACATATAATGAAATTTAATTATTTATTTGTTTATTTAAATTTGCCATTAAATATGCCCGCAATATCATGGGGGCCGGCAATTTATGAAATGGGAATAACAATTCGTCATGTTGTCAACAAATGACAATGAAACAAAAAATAACAACAGAAAAAAGTGGAGCATTGAATGATAATTGTTTCTTTGTTTAAAACAAATTGATGTTAATTGTTGTTTTTAAAAAATCCACGCCTTATTTATAGT